TCCAGGTCTGAGAGAAAAACATTAAGTATCCTGCTCTCATTGGATCACTGTAAGTCTTTTGGTGACTCAATTAATTTTTCCTTTATGAATTTGGATGCTCTGCCATTAGATGCATATATTTGTACTATTTATATTGGTTTGTTATTTCTCATTCTCTTAAGAAAAATGTAATTTACCTTTTTGTCTTTACTGATATTTTGAATTTTTTTCTTTGTCTAATAGCACGATTGCCAGTCTTCATTTTTTTTCTATTCACTTGGTGCATGGTTAATTTTGTCCCTATATCTCATTATGATTATGCACACACATGTGCACACACACATACCTACATATATGTCAGTGCTTTTTATGTGATTCTTGTAAGGAAGAGGTTGTGGAATTTTTTTATTAGTCATTTTTCCACTCTTTAATTTTATTGGATTATTTAGTCTAGTCCCACTAACAATAAAGTGTTATGTGTTATGTTATCTTCCAATTTAGTCTCTGATATTATTTTAAAAATATTTTAATTATTTTCCTGTTTTAAATCAATGCATTTTCTCTAATGTCATTTGAACTATTTTGATGCAACCAAACTATTTCCACAGGACCTGTACCCCGCCCTTCACCTCACACTCCAGCTTTTCAGCCTTTTCCCTTATTTTGCGCTTTCACTTAAATTATTGATTTTTTAACTTTTATTTCTTTATTTATTTCTTCCTTTGATTTTTTCTTTAAGTAGTTAAAAAAATTATCCTACTCCTTCCTCTAACTTCTTTTGCTTTTTAGTTTTTTATCTTCCTTTTTTCAAAGTTTTTTCTTCTATTCTTACTTTGTTCTCCTTTTACTATTATGTCTTTCTTAAAATTTATTTCCTGATTTGTGGTCTATATCCTTATTTATGCAGTCTTTAATGAATTCCATCTTTATGTTTCTCATAACATAGAGCACCAGGTTTGAGTTCCTTCTTTCCTCATTATCTGTTTTTATAGAGCTTGTTCAATTGTATCTTAGAAGTATGAGTTCATGAGGGAAGTATTATAGATAGAAGTAGTACCCTGTTGTAAAAATTATGGTCCAAATTTTGGGGTTCAATGATATCCACACCCTTCCCATGACCTTTCCATTCCCACTGGCCATGACATCTCATTTTAGATCCATGTAAAGTCCACCTTCCCCCTTTTTTGGATATTAACTACCCCTAGTAGTTCATAGGTCTTTTCTCCTGGGATATTAATCATAGAATGTTAAAATATTCTTAGACATAGTAGTATCTCTTTGTACAACCACCTCCCTGTGCCCCGATCAAACCCTTTGTAAGGTATCCATATACCATTGTAGGCATATACTTCTTCTATCAAAGTACACTTCTGTGACATCCTTTATCTCATTAGATTGAGTACTCCAAATTTAACCCCTTACGTATGCCATCTTTTCATTCTCAAGTAGCCCCTCTTCTTAAGAAGAGTCATTTTCCTTTCACTGTTCACACATGGGCTTGATAAAGGTCCACCATCCATTTTCCTTTGTCTTTCATTTCTTTCTTACCATTTTTTGCTCCCTCCCACTCTTTAATTTTGTACTACAAAATATTGTGATTCACCTTTAGGGAAGTCATAGGGTTTATTTAATAGTAGCAGTTCTGGATATCTATCTTCATTTCTCATGTTTCTTTTTCTGTTTATATCTTTATGCTTTTATGTGATTTTTTTCTTTCTTGATGATACCTATTAAAAAAAACCCTTAACATTAGTAATATATTTCATTACATATTCTTTCCTTGGCAGTTTTGCATTTCTTTTGTTTCTGTTGTTTGCAAGTAAAATATTATGTTCATATTTATTTTGAAGCAAAGGTATTTCAAGGTCCTCTCTTTTGTTGAACATTCGTATTTTTTTTTTGTTAACATATTAGATTCATTGATTAGGCTCAGGGTGGCCAGGTAGAACATTTGGGGTTGCAGCTTGAGCTCCTTTGCTTTTCAGAATATAATATTCCATTCACTTCTGCAGTTTCTACTAGATTTAGAATTATCTCATGTTATTTGAATTTAATTTCCTTTACATTTGAAGGTCTTTTGGTCTTCTGCAGAATTTTTTGTGTATTATAGGAATTTATAGGAACTATAGCAATTGTAGGAGTTTGAAGTATAAGGTTTTTTTTTATTTAAAATTTTTTTTTTTAGTCCTGAAAGCCATTTGTGGCTCTTTTTACTATTACTTTTTTTTATATTCATAAGTTCTAGGCAGTCTTATTTTATTATTTCTAGCACTATGTTATTCATTATTTTTATTTGTCATGTTTTTCTGGAAGATATATTTTTACATTTTTTTTCCTGTGATTCTGTCTGTGAAGTCAATGCTTTTGGCTTGTATAGAGATCATATCTTCTTTTAATATTATTGCTCTTTGCTTCTGTTCTGCCAGTTTTCTCTCCTTGACATAATTTTCATTCCAAATATATTAAGCTCGCTTTTTTTTCCTAGACTGCTAATTTCTTCTTTCATGGGTTTAATTTCTTTTCAAACCATTCTCTAATTTCTTTTTTTTATGAGCACTTGAGATTCCGTAGGATTTTGTGTTTTGTTAGACATTGGATCACATTCTCTTCTCTTGTAACATTTGTTGAGGGTTTTGTGATCTCTTTGAGACTTTAGTTCTTATCGTCCTACTTTTAGGATCTACTTTGTTGATTTATCTGCTTGTGCTTTGGGTTTTTTTATTGATTCTATTCCTTTTAGAATCACTAGTGCTTTGGCTTTTTTCTTTATATTCTCCTATCATTCATTTTTAATTTATCCTCCTTTGATTATAGGCATTCCCCAACCCCACAGCCAGAGACAGGAAAGAAAATCTGCCTCTCCCTCTTCCTATGATGGAGAATTTAGTTTTTCTTGGTTTTAGTAGCCTGTGCCGGGACAGGACTGGTATCAGGTACATTTCATTACTCATTTCTTTAGGGCCTGCACAGCCATTCACAAGACTTCTTTGTTCTAGTCCTCTCTGCTTTTTAATCCTTTTCTTTTTCTGTTTAGATTGAATCACTTCTGGGTTGTTTTTGTTTTTTTCAGGATTCAAGAAAGGCAGGCAATGTGTTCTGGATAGAATATCCAAGGCCTTGGATATTCCTTACCTAGGGGGCAGTCCCAGGAAGAAGGCAGTACCATCTCTTGGCAAGGCAGATTCCTTGTCTGCTACATGTTATGGAGAGATGGGTGGATAGTAGCTGAGGTGTACCAGTGAACCCATGGCATCAGGAAGGGATCCCAGTGAGAGCCATGAACACAATCCCCCTGGTCATTTTGTGCAAGTTTGTATGTCTCTCCTGGGAATAATGGAGGCTGAGAAATTGAGGAAGGGTACTAAGTGGGTGTTTTAGGTTTAGCATTATCTGGTACTAACTCAAAACGGTTTTACCTTGTGTAAGATCCTTTATTTTTTTGCTGTATGGATTCAGATATAAATGGCCTATATCCGGAATGTAATTTTTCTTTTTTTTTTTTTGTAACTTAGCGGGGCCTTGGAAAAGTTTCTAGTCTGCAGTCTTGTTGGTCATGTGGAAAAGAAAGGGCAAGATCTCTTTTATCTACATCCTGATTATATCCCATTCTCTCTCACTAGAAACTCGAAATGGAAAAAGATGGGGCCGCCTTTGTCCATGACTAGTTTCTACACAATCAGAAGCAGAGCTGCTACTATGTTTCTAGCAGACTAGCTTTTGACCCTCTCCTGAGATCAACAGAGAATTTATATGTGACCTCTTTGCTGCCATGTTATGATCTCTGCTTAGCTTGCTTCTTGACAAACCTACTACTTTCTTTGTTTTTTCCTCAAGAAAAAAAAACACAAGCAATTTGAAAAAAGAATAAGTATATAATACAACAAGTTTTTACACAAATACAATTGTATGTATTTTTTTTTTGCATTTGGGCACATGAATCTTTGTCGTAGACTCAATAGTTATCTTATTAACTTTGAGTGAATTAAATGGGCAGTGAATGCCTAAAACTAGTGAGATTTTACAGAGCAAAACTAGAGCTAAGTGAACCTTGCTTGCATGTTCATGGCATAAAGCTCCATTATCAATGACTGCACCTCTAACAACTTGTTCACTAATTGGTACTGGTTCTCTGGCTAAGAATTGACTCCACTTTTCTCACCAATTCCCCATTCAGCACCTCCTCTTTCTTTTGTTGTTGCTCTTTTTGAATTTTTTTCCCCCAGATGTCTTTCAAAACATTTGGAAAACAAATCCAGGCTCTGTAGGTATTATAAGAACGGTTGTTGTTTTATTCTTTTTCTTGGGTACAAAAATCACAATTTTGTACACAGAACAAGATTATAAATAATATTGGTAGCATGAGTGACCCGTAGTCTCTTGTGATTCTATGCTCCAGACTGATGATGTAAAGTCAACGATTTTTTTTCTTTTTGTTTTGTTTCTCCTACTTAGACAGATGTGATCTGTGGGACACTGGTGTGTAACAGAATGAAGATAACAGCAAACAAGAAGATGGCCAACAACTTTTATAAAAAAAGAGTCTCTGAATTTTATTACAGTGATGCCATTTATATCAATTATTGCAATGAATTGTTCCCTAAGATGGTTAGAAAAAAGAATTGTGTTGTCCTCTACCGAATTTACATCAGTTAAAAAGCAAGCATGTTTCAATATTCCTCTTTTTCCTCAAAGGAAATGTAAATAATTTCTTTTACTTTTCACAGGATTTACATGTTTGTTTATTATTTTCTCATCACAGTTTTGTGACTCATTTCCACAGCTGGATATTCTTCCTTGAATATATGGATGTTCAGGAGACACAGGTTAGCATGTTCATTGACTTCTATAGCTATTTAATCCCTCTTGGCAAAGTCCAAGGTAAAAGTGTTGTCCTTTCTGAGCAAGTCCTTCACAGTTTAATGCGCTAATCGGCAAGTCTTATTAGTTTAAGTTCACTCGAGTGAAATTTGTTGCTGTTAATACACCCATCCCAGCTCCCGCCCCTCCCACCCCCCCAAAAATCTAAATTATGAATTTTCCTGATATAAAATCTGAGTTTGGGTTTCCGAGCTGAGCTCATGCACACATTGTTGCTGATGATGTCTGGCGCATTTGGACGTACTTCCCGTTCTCAGCCAAATTTCGGAGTTCATCACTGAAACCCCCATGTCGTGACAGGCTGTTCTGTGTTTCCATCAGTCACCAACACAGTTTTAATTAAGGCACTCAATTATTTTTTTGGTTTTTATGGTAGGTCCGATGCAATTACAGCCAATCCTGAACTTTGTCTAATTGCGGTTCCAGCGTGTACAGCTTTTGGGCAGTCGGGAGTCAATACACGGCCATTTTCTCCAACACTCCCTGTGATGGATAATCTGGCTTTGTTTCTTATGGCTTCAGAAAAGGTCAGCTAGGTTGCATGGAAAGGAAACAGGGAAAAAAGTGTTACAATATTTCTATTCTATTGGCAGAATGTGATACAACAAACACCAAAATGTTAATATTTAGACATCTGCATTTTCATTTGCTTTTGGTTTTAGAAGAACTGCACATAAAAAGCATTCAGCTACATTGGGAAGAAGTCAATTTAGAGATTGTGATTAATATAATTTTTAGAAGAAACAATTAAGTTTAAGGCAAATGCAAAACAAGGATTTACTTAGCAGTGAGGGTAGCTTCCTTAGCCTAAGCAACTCTATGCTGAATAGCCTACCTTAATCAAGATTAAGTTGAACTTAGTTTTAAATATTATATATATATATATGTATATATATACACATATATACACATATGTATATAAAATCTTGTCCTTTCTTAGCTATGTAAGTTTTTAAATAGAAAAACTCTTCTTTCAAAAATGTGATCAACAGTCTATATATAGCTGCAACTCATGCCAAGTCCTCTTTTAACTAAACAGATCTCTACACAAACATCTTCATTCATTCACACCACTTTAATGACATGACCGAAACAGCACAAGTATTGACGTACAGCTGACTACGTGCTGAGTATGGACATTTAAGTATAGATTTTTAAAGAGCATTTTTAATAGAGGGATACAAATCAAGAAAGAATATGTCAATATGCATGGAAGACCATCAGTAGGGACACTTCCCCAGACTATTATGGGGTAGGCCTCTGAATCCCTCCTCTAGTATCTTTGCCCCCAAATTTCTTGCTATAGCAGGCAGTTTTAAAAAAGTATAATAAGAGAAGTATTGTTATTCTTACTGAGATCTTTTTATTGTTTCTAGGACCTGAGTTTGAATGTTAATTTCTAAAAAAGGCAGGTTAACAGGGAGAGAATATAAGGTCAATCATTTGACTCATCTAAGTCCAGAGGAGAAATTTTATTTCTTTATTGTTTCTGGATTTGCTAATTTCTTCAGGAAATCCTTTAGTCTGTACTTACTTTGTATGAATACTGAAGGTATTAAAACCATAAACCTTTTATAAGTAGACAGGGCCTTAGATATCATTTGTTCCAACTTACCATTTTGCTTATAATAAAACTGAGCCCCAGAAAGTGAAGTGACCTGTCCATAGGTAGTTAGTGACAGAGTCCAGGTAAGAAATCTGGTCAGTTTCACACATTTTGCCCTCAAATGACTTAGAGTCAGCTTTGAGAAGTACAGTTAGAAATGGACAGGTGACCCCAACTGACTAGCTAACAGCTTTGCAATTGGTAGCTATGGCTAATAAGGGTAACAAAAAGTATGAAGAAAAAGATCAGTGCTCCTCATCTATTTGGAGATCTTCACCTAATCCCTGTAGAATTAGTGCTTTGGGGTGGGAAATGCCATGGTCATAGATGGAAAATATACACTAGGCATGTGCTTTTTAAAAGCAGACATAAAATTGATAAATTACACTCTAAATGAGTGCAATAAATGCATAGCTGACTTTGGCCTAGGTGAGCTACTCTCCAAATGTAAATGAAAAAGAAGCTGAGATTCCACACATGCAGGAGGAGCAGAACAGTAGATAAAGTTGAATAAAGGAACTGAAAAATGAGCTCTTGATTTGTCTATTTCCACCCCTGTTCTGATGTGACCTTATTTCTCAAAGATTTACAGTATGTCATACAACTACCATTAAAGGAACTGGGAATTTTTAGACCAGAGAAGAGAAGATTTAGTGAGGCATGATATCTATCTTCATATATTTGGAGGACTGTTGTATAGATGACCTGTCTTACTTGGTTATAAAAGGTAGGACTCATCAATTGGGGAATGGCTAAACAAGCTGTGATTTATGATTGTAATGGAATATTATTGTGCTATAAGATATGATAAGCATGATGGTTTCAGAAAAACCTGGAAAGACTTACATGAACTGATTCAGCATAGTGAAGTGAACAGAACCAGAAGAATGTTGTACACAATAACAGCAATATTGTTCAATGAAGAACTGTGAATGACAGCTATTCTCAGCAATACAATGATCCAAGACAATTCCAAAGGATTGGTGATAAAGTATACTATCTGCCTCCAGAGAAAAAAACTGATATTGATTGAATACAGACTGAAGCATGTTATTTTTCACTCTTTTTTCTTTCATTTTTTTTCTTTTACTTGAGTCTTCTTGTACAAAATGACTAATATGGAAATGTTTACATAATTGCTCACATGTAACCTAGATGTGATTGCTTACTGTCTCAGGGAGTGGGGAGGGGAGGGAGAGGATAGAATTTGGAACTCAAAAATTTAAATAAAAATGTTAAAAAATTAGAAAAAAATTAAAAGTAGGGTTATGATAGAAGTTTCAGGGAGAGAGGTTTCAATTCAGTAAAAAGGGAAACTTCCTAAGAATGATTGCAGTACCAAAAATGGTATGGCACACTTTAATAAACAGTGGATTCCCTGTCATTGGAGGTCATTAAGCAGATGTATTGGGAACACCGCAAACAGGATTGGTACTTTGGTTACGTAGATGAGCTCTCAGTTCTCTTTCAACATTCAGATATTGTTGATACAATATTTTTTGGGGGGGCATAGTTCTTTAAGGGGTACCTATGTGATGTTAGAGGTCAATACACCCTGGATCTGCCTGCTGTATGACTTTGGCAAGTTCAGTTTCTCTTTCTGTTTCTAGGTTTTCTCATTTGTAACATGATAGGGCTTGGGAGTGAGCATGTGCATTAGTAGAAACATCAGTGATATGGAAATCAGATGACACAGGTCACATGTCAGTCCTATCACCTATGTGATCTTGGACAAGTCCCTTAACCCTTCTGGGCCTCAATTCCCATCTCTAAAATGAAGGACTTGAACGACATGATTTGTAATACTCCTTCAAGAACCTTGGTTTTAAGGAAAGTAAGCTGGACTTGGAGTTAGGAAACAACTAGGTCTGAAACCTGCCTTTAATACTTACAAGTTGTGTGAACATGGGCAAGTCATTCCACTTCTCTATGTCTCATTTTCTTCCTTTTTAAAATAGGCATTAGAGTACCTACTTCAAAGAGTTGTTGTGAGGATCAAAGGAAATTATACATATCAATCAATTCCTAAACCTTGAAGCATTATGTAAAATTCCAGCTATTATTTTTATTTATTCCTCTGATCTCTATTTTTTTTCTGATCACTATGTTTTTCCATTCCAAATATTCTATATGTGCACTATTCCATGGCTATACCCACTGACACATTTTCTAAGCATCAGCTTTTTCATTTGGTATAAGCTTGGACAAGCCATCTTTCTAATCCTCAGTTTCCTCAACAATCAAGAATGAGGAAAATTATAATTAACTTACAGAGCTGTAGTTAGGTATTATCTATTGTCATTAATTCCCCAGAGAATATACTTCAGGACAACTCTGGATTTTCTGGGCTTATTTTTCCCCCTGGCTCTCTTTGTCCTAATTTAATCTTCTGGAGTCCTGGGATGTTTGAACCTGCCTAAGTATAGGAGTCAGATTGTGCCTACCCACAGTCCTGGATAAGGTTCCTGGATATTCATCCAACTTGTGATTTCTCTTTGTGGCTGGTCAACTACAAATCCACACCTGGAGGTGTACAATATTGCTGGATGGAAATGGTCAGAATATTTGACTGTTCACTAAATTTTATTGTTGTTTTAGATGTTTCTTGGCATATTACTTCTTTGGTGGATCCATAATTTCACAGATGTGCACCCTCCTTTATATGGGCTTCCAGACTTTCTCCTCCTGCGTGATTCTTGCCCATGTTCTTGCTCTTGACTGATAACATTGTGTTGGAGTCCTGCCTTTGATTCTTTTCAACATGTTATAGATATCATTGAAGTCCTTGGGCTATCAATCTATGTTCTGTCATTCTTTCTACATGTCAGGCTCATCTCTTTTTCTAGATACACATATTCTGGATGAAGTCTTCTATACCATTTCAACGACATGTCAATTGTCCATTGGTAGTATGAAGTAGCTCATATATACATACTTCATATGTTGTCCCATTGCCCTCTTAGTCACCCTAAATTATTCTTCTTAGGAGATTAGGATATTTTATGGGTTGTTTTTTTTTTGCCAATCTAGTATCACTGAGGACAGTATTAGTATTAAAAATATGGGCTTTTGTGGCAAGGAATAACATAATTGAAAGCATGATGGCATTTATAGATAGGATAAACTGGATATTCTTTGTTAAATTGTATGACCAACTAAGTTCTGTCACTACTTTCAGCATTTGAAGAATAGATTTACTTCTTCAACTTAACATTAAGAAAAAAAAGTCAACCTTGTAGTCAAGGTGTTTTTAGTTGAAGCAAATTTTTCATATTATTATCAACAGCCTGTTTTCTTAGGGCTTCACTATAGGTACCAATATAATGCAGTATCTTTGAGGTTATCTTTCTTTGTAATCTTTTATGAAGAAATTTCAATATTCATTTCCACAGTCACAAAAATATTTTACCGTTGAATCACAGTATTGAGAGATAGAAGGAACATTGTCAAAAAATATAAAATTTGGTGCATGACTGCAGTATGGAACTACTTCTTATGAAGGCTTTTGTTATCTAGCTTGTACCCTGAAAGCTTCTAAGACTGGAAAGAATACAGGAATATCAATGCTATACTTTCCTCTGAAATTTGCTATCCTAAAGGCATCAACCTCAGAGACAAAAGGATTTATATAGGATGCACACTACAATGTCATTTAGTCGACCTAAAATATTATTTTCATATTAATGTTGCAAAAGGAAGCACTGACTGATGGCATGTCTATTTTTAAACGTCTTAATAATATTTTCAATGGACTGGATTGCAAGTTATTCTTTTATTTATATATTTTGGGGTAGGGTCATAGTTGAAATTTTTCTATTGTCTTATTTATCTATTTTCAGTCCCTGCAGATGATTAGAATGCTCTTTCCATGCCAAGAAAGTCATGTTTTTGATGCAGTGGCAAAAGAGCTTTTACAAAATAAACGATAAAATTCCACACATAATGTTTCTGAACTTTGAGCTCTGGAAACTGATGACAGGTTGTTTTCTAGGCTGTGGAAATGTTGAACAGCTCTTGAAACAGTACGATGAGTGAATGCCCACCAACTTTTCATCTCTTTGGTTTGGGGTCCAGCAGGTGGATGAATTGCCCAGAGCTATTGAACGGTTTCAGCATTCTGGGTGGAATGTGGCAGTCTGCTCTTCCTGGTATAATTCTTCTTTGTAAAAGTGGGAGAATGACTTCCTTTATGATAAACTATACTCTGCAGGATTCAGCTATTGCCTTTCTGAATTCTAGATAAAAAACAATAGGATAACAGCAAAAAGGGTGATTTTTAAAAGAAAGAAACTACTACCATTTAGAATAGTTTCAAGTTGTTTTTTCTTCATTTCAATCTTCTAGGAGTCAATACCAAACTGTAGTGCAAATTTTTCTTGTACAACCTTGGAGCTATTTTCTATTCCTACTGAAAATTGTATGAGTCTTTGATTTGTTGTTTTTATTGTTTTTATTCAGTTGTTTCTGATTCTTCATGATGCCATGGACCATAACATGTCAGCCCTTCCATCCTCCATTATCTTTCCAAATCTATCCAAGTCTGTGTTTGTGGTTTCCATGACACTACCTATCCATCCCATCCTCTGCCATCCTCTTTTCCTTTTGCTTTCAATCTTTCCCAACATCAGGGTCTTTTCCAATGCATCAATTTGCAATGTCAGAACAAATACTCCTGATTAATCATTTAATATGTTATTTTAAAAATGGACTTTGGACATGAATTTAGGACAAATTTCCTCAAAGCTTAATCTAAAACCACTTAATCTGATAGTAGAAAAAAAGGAATGGATTTTAGACTTCTGAAAGTAGTTTCTATCTCGTCGGACAAATCATTCCTCCGATGCTCAGTTTCCTTAAGAGTCATGAAGGCGGAAAATTACACCTACTTTACAGGGTTGTAGCTAGGTCTTACTGATGGCTTACCACTATTTATTGTATATAAGCTACACCCTCTATAACTGATCTGGACTTGCAAACAGGTGCCTTTTTAAAAATAAATTTGATTTGCCTCCATTCATGAGAACACTTCTGCTGGATCCCTCTTATGGTACTAAAATCTCAAATGTAGCTTCAGTTCTATTACTGGTATAAGCCTGAGATTCTCACTCACTTCAACAAGAGTTTAAACCTGAAAGCAGAATTGAACCTAAAAAAGTGTCAATGATAACCAGGATTCACCTACAACTGCTAAAGTTCTGGCTCTGGATCCCACTTCTGACACATACAACCTATATGATCTTGGGAAAATTATTTACTATCCCTGGGCCTCTGTTTCCTAATCTGTAAAAGAAAGGTTAGGCTGAACGTCCTCTAAGGTACCTTTCAACTTTAGACCTATGAACTTACATACTGACAAAACCACATCTGGTCCCTGGCAACTTAACAATTATGCAGTACAGAAAGGGAGCTCTTTGAAACAAAAATGACCTTAGCCAGAAATAGGAAAATAACTGCCTATGTGCTAGACCTTTAAACTAAAGGTCTCTTTTTTGCTTTAACTTGAATTTCATGTAGCAGGACTCTTTGGATTGATTCACAACAACAAAGTTCTTTTAGTTTGTTTGTTTGACCCTTGCAATGCAGATGTCTATGAACAACACAGAAGAGTGTACCATACATCTGCAGCCAAAGAAACTGAACCACTTTGCACTGGTTTCCAAAAAATAGAAAGCTCTAATTCGAAGCAAGCATACCACCACTGGACAGACAGGTCACGACACTGCATTTACAGGATGCATCACCCACTCACTGTAGTTGGCCCTAAGTCCTACCCCTAAATTTTAACACTTTCGGTTCCATATACGTTGTAACCTTCTCTATAAGTGGCTAAATTCTGGGTATTCTGCGAGGAAGTTGGGTTAAAAGTCTGTGCACTCTTTGCCACCTTCATTCGCTTTGCCTCTGCCCTGGACTTGTAACAGAACTCTATCAAAGCCACCAGCATGGCCAAGCCCAAGCCGCCAACCAGAATGTAGAAGACTCCAGCTACGTTGCTGAGGCTCAAGGCACTCGTCTTGTCCTGGGGAGAGAGAATCACTTCAGTTAGTGATGGAAATGTGGCCTTTCCAAAGCAATAAGAACAATGTGGCATTCAGGTAGCAAGTATAAATATATACAACCTTTAGGTCAGAAGGATTTTAACATGAATTTTTGGGCTGATGGATTTTAAAATAAAGCCATTTATGGAGAGTTCATCCCAAGCAAGACTACTTTGATTGCCTGCATATTTGGGATGTAATTGGATTCAGTGACAGCTATGGGATATTGACATTATGAAATAACAATTAAAACCATTTCACTCTCCCATATCAACAGACAGGAAACATTCAGATATAAAGTCAGAGGTAGGTGACAAGTGCGAAAATGGTTTATTTAAAAGTTTGTTATGTGGATGGTGGGTTGGTTTGACTGTGTAAAATGACAGGCACATTTTTAACATCTACCATTTTACTAGGAGAGTGATTGTCCTCCTCCCCCTCCCATCCCACCCTTTATTAAGTAACAAAGGTTCTTAACACCAGTCATTTCAGTTTTTCATGGTTATTGTTTGAATAATCATGTGCATACATAGTGACAGGCTATTTAATCATTTTTAAGGCCATTCTCTATAGGGAAATCCCTTTAACTGGCAAAGTAAGGACCAAAAAGATTCATTCTTCATATATATTACATTGACGTGACAGATGCATGCTATATTGGCCATGGATAGGTAGCTTTGTTCTACAAAAGTATTGCAGCAATGAAATTATTCATATCTTAGCACAGCTCTGAATATTTTAAAATGATCTTATTTCCATTTTTACTAAGATATTTTTAATTATATAGTGTTTTAGGGCATGCATCTTATTGCAAAATATTCTGAAATAGCCAGGCACATGATTTTTGTTTATTGGGGACATTAAGATGTTCACACAACTTAACCTCTGGATTTTCTCATCATGAAAACTTTTTCTACAGTTGAAAATATATTTACCATGTAATATGCAGGACACCATATAACCCCACACGTGTATGAAGCATTTGAAGGGAGTTAGTGGCCTAAGCAATGGCCTCTTATTATAATTTTCTCAGAATTAAGATAATGGAAAACATGAACAGCACTACTGGTGGTTTAATTTAAAGGTGCACTATTTGTTCTGCATTGCTGGAGTAGTCCTGGTAACCTGGTATGAGTTTACAATGATTCTGTTGTAGACTTCATCTCTGCTAAGGCATATCATGGCATAGACATCAATTGTCTGGGCTAGAGAGGTTAAAGAAACTTTGCCATCTCAAAGAAGGCTCTCATTCTGTTCTGGTTGAAAGACCAATGCTATTGTGGCCAAGAGGGGAGGAAAACCCTCTGAAGAATCTGATAGTCCAATAAGAAATGATTAATTTGGAACTTTGCCTGATTCCTACTTCAAATCTGTGAAGTTCCATTCATAATTGCCCCAAGGTTATGTGCCTCATATTAAACAATAAGTGCTATTTTCTTCCTTTACAGAAGAATGGTTCATTGCCAATAAACACACATGTTCAAATACATTGGAACTAGACATATATATATATATATGTATATATATATATACATATATATATGTGTGTGTGTGTGTGTGTGTGTATAATACACATATATATGTGTATTATATATATGTGTATTATATATGTATATACATATATATATGTATACATGCTTTATTTATATATAAAGCAGCGTGGCAGAATAGACAAAGTCTCATCATTGACATGTACCATCTGTGTGACTATGGATCATTCGTTTAACCTATCACATGCCATATGCAACTCTTTAAAAAGATTGCAAGTTACAAGGGAGTTGCCATCTGCATCAAAGTGGGAACAGAATGAATTCTCCATACTTACACAATCAGAAGCCTTGATGGAAAAAACCCCCAGCATATCTATAATTCATATATATATTTCCTGTTACTTTGCTATGCTTTTGTTGTTGTTGTTGTTGTTTTGGTAAGCATTAATTTCATCTGAATCCAGTAGAATCAGAACTACAGGTTCTACCATTTTCCAAAACCAGATTTCATTAATCAGAGACTTCATAACTTGGAAATGCAACTAATACTTTCGTTTGATGGGACATAAATGTAATAGTGCCTCTTTAAATTAAAGTGGAACCTTTGCCAATTTGGGGAATCAGCATTATTGAACTCTTCTGGTTGAACATTCATTTCTTTAATATAAATTTTTTCTGTATTCCCACTGGCTAAAGGTAATCATCCCCTTTCTTGTTTTGTAAATTCAATAAGAGCTCCTGAATTGATGAAGTCTTGGGCTCTTGAACCCTAAAGCAAATGAAACAAAATAAAATAAAATCCATTCTACTTTTTACCAGTGGTATATTAAGCTGGACAACACTAATATTACATGAAATTCCAATGAATCTTTTCTGCATTTAGTGAAGTTTATTTTTTTTTAAAGCCTTAATATTGGGAGAGCAAGTGGGTTGCATTTTTTTTAAAGCCAGGCCCCATTTTTAAAAGCTAATGCAATTAATTTCAATGGGTGGGGTTGTGCTAGGAAGAGGAATGCTCATTGCTTAGTTTCCATCTGGGTTTGACCATGGCTCCCTTTGGTGTTGGGTGAGCACAAGAGGAGGTCCCGAGCTGCAGTGACTAACCTTGCTTCCAGAGTCCTTGGGTCCACATTCACCTTTATCGTACCACCATTTGTTTTTCAGCTTGTCTAAGACGCCTGCCTCACTGAGTTTCAAAACGGCAAGGTTTACAGGAGTTCTTCACGTGGAAAATAACATAAATAACATTATATATGTTATTTTATGTTATTCAAGTAAAACTACATTAGAATCGCATGGTAAAGTGACAGAGCAGAGGCCACAGAGGGTGCTATGTCTTGTGCTATAGGCCCAGGTTTAGAAACAGACATACGACTGGGGCCTGCTCCATCGCTTTAGGTAACAGGCACATACTGCTAGGGAAAATTGGTAAATAAAAGGTATGCAATTACTGTGAACCCAAAACTATTGGCTTAGGACAGTTTTTCTAATATTGAGAGACGTGTCTCAATGTAAAATTTAACTGGCTTACTTCATAAACTCATTTATTTTGTTTCTTTTCAGAATTTATGAAAGTGTATATGTCAACAGACTGACTTTGTAGAAGCTGCCTATAGCCTTCAGTTAGGATGATGATAGGATTTTACTTTATGCCATGAAGCATGCCCCTAATAACTGCTGTCATATTCATATCACTACTATTCATATATCACACCTTGCCAAGGGAAACATAACTTGGGCTTTGTTGAGAAAAGATCATTCATGCCTAAAATACAAAAGGAGATCATTCATCAATATTATTTTAAAGTAGAAACCCTTGAGTTCTGCTGGAATAACAGATCTTTATAATCTTCTGTCCTCGTGGTAATATTTAACATAGATAATTTCCTTAACATAAATCTAAACACAATTTAATTTCAACATATTCATGTAATCAAGTTGTTATAACTATATAGTGAAGTTTTTGTAATATAATTAAAAATGCTTCAGTGTGCCAGACCCCTAGATTGTGTATAAGAGGTAGCCCGAATATTTGACTACTTTAAGAAACTACCCTTTATTAGAAAGTTTAGTGTCTTCTGACACTTTCTTTGCTTCCATTAACATCAAATATTGTTGGAGGGGGCAAAGAAGAGAAGATATTCACTAGTGCTGGGGATTTATTGGCTTAAAGAATGTACTTGTGTCTGTATAACTGTTTTCTAAAGAAATACAATTATTTCCTCTAGTTGCTATTTGCTCATTTAACTCATTCTGTGTAGGCATAAGGATAGTTGCTGTCATAGAAAGAGTACTGGCCTGGGACCCAAAAGACCTGGGCTCTCTAGGTTGTTACTCTGACCTTCGGTCTCATTTTCTATTAAATGACTGGGTAGGGTAGGCTGGATCATCAGATTATCTTTCTGATATTCTATGAGATAAATAGTATATATTCCAGTGGTTGTCTTCTGGGCAGTAGCTCTAAGGAAAAATTCATCATGCTTCACTAGGCAGATTATAGGTTACAGATCATGTAGTCAAACTCTCATTTTACAGATTAGGAAACTGAGGCACAGTTGAGTCCACTCAGGTAGACTGATAAGAATTCAAACCCAGGTTTTGTGATGGGTTTGGACATTAACTTACACCCACAGAGAATTTATCAGTTATTCCTTAATTGTTGGTCCTATTAAATGGCAATTTTTTGAGTGTAGGGGCTATTTCATTTATATTTGTATCCTCCATAGAACCTATCACAGGGTCACCCATATAGTAGTCTCTGAAAACATATAGAGAGTTTTCAGATAGAGGATTGTTGGGGAAAGAGGAGAAAGGTATCTTTTCAAGTAGTTAAAAACTATCCATTACATCCTGCATTTTGTTTAACCATTCAATAACTTTTTATTAATAAATGTATTTTAAAAGTTTTCTTTTTAATTTGAAGATTTGAAATAACTTTTTCAGTCCTCATTTTAACATACCATTGCAGAGTTTATAGTTGTAATATATAATAGAATATTGACTAACATAAACTTGTTTCATTTTTGAATGATTAGAGTTTTGATTCACATAAAGATGAAATCTTACTGAGTTTTTGATTCAAAACATGCCTATGAATCCTCATTTTCTTTTAAATTTATACATTTATTTACCTGGTTTTCCCCAGTTAAAGTAATTAGGCCAGGGTAGAAAACAAAAGGAGGCATTTCATTGTTGGCTAGCTTTGAGAATTTTATCCATCAAGTCTGGCTCTAGATTTCCTTGTAATGCTCATAAAAACAGCCATGTCAACAAACATTTTTTGAATGATATTAAAAATTCCATTGACAAACGCTCTGGTGATGGTATAGTATATATTTTTACATGTCTACTTTACATAGTAATGTTATTAATTTAGGTATTCTTATTGAAGTAAGGTTAAATAATTTTTTTTTAACACATAGAGGAAATAACAAATTAGGCAATTAGTCTTTGAGAGCACATCTAAGTAATGGCATCTTATTGATTTTCCTTTCTCCTTTTTTTATCCTCCTATCTTCAAGAGACTCTAACAAATAGAGAAATCTATGAATCCTGCTTTATACTTCTTACTCCTCCTTTCTCTTTCTCCTTAATACTCTGTCATAGAATATCTCCTCAGAACTAGGGGAATGGAGGAGATATGGAGACTATAATCTCTTCTTTTCCCCCTTCTTTCCAGGTCAAAGATATTTATACAGTATATATGCCCCTTCTTTTCTTCTCTCAATTCTCTTGAAAGAATGAGAATATATCGGAAGGTGCTGAGCTGAATTCCACATTTACCACTCTGGACCTCAGCTTTCTCCTCTGTTAGAAAAGGGGGTTGGACTAGATGATCTCTCAGAGGTCATCCAATTCTTACATTGTATGATTTATAGTTGGGCCAGGGATATTGAACTGGATTGGGAGAAGCTGACATTTCTAGTTTTCCAAGCTAGTACTGACGTATTTATGGGTTCTCCAGAGACTATCTGCATTTCCCAGTCAGATGCATGCCTCTGCAAGCAGATCCACACATCCAAAAGGCCTATTCAAAACCAAGTGTCATCACCTTGAGTTGTCCTGAAGCCTTATGAATATTCAAAACTCCAACCACAAACCTGCAAAGCAGGAGGCTTCTCTCATAATAATATTAAATTTTGTATCTTGGATACTGGAATAAAAGAAAGTATTATCAAAAAGAACAAATGATTTTATAACAAAGGCATAATTTTAAAGCTCATATTTCAACTTTCATTTTATTTACAAACCGCTTGAGAACAACCATTTAGTTGTACCTATGTGCAGCCCATGTGTGCATACAGGTTTCCCTAACAGTATTACACTGCAGTGCACCTACATATATAGCCTCACAGGACATATTGAAATGTGGTTCTTGGTACACTCAATGATATTTTCTATCTTCTATATAAATTTTCCCTTTCTTCCCCATCAAGCATTGCTTAGGGGAAAAAAGGTCATAGGAATATGCTGGAAATAAGAGATGAAGTAAAGACAAAACTTAGTTGCCCTTATTTTTATAGACAATCAGTAAGAAAGGAAAAACAAAAGCAGAAATTTGGTGATAGTAGACTAAGGTGACCTTGGCTGTATTTTAAGAGAGGACACAGTTTTTAGTTACCATACACTAATTTCTATTTCCTTACATAGCTGTAATTGGAATCTGTTAGGTTACTGACTCACTGAAAGATAGCCCAAGGAGGTCTTAGGGTTTAGCGGGGTCTTTGCTCCAACAGGCCAATGGATCTGTGATCTCATTAATGGGAGTACTTCCTATAAAGATGTGGATCTCAGCCCATCCTATCCATGTCTACTCATCCTTGGAGTCCTTGTTACATCATTGAAAAGGTTTCTGGCCCTGTAATGGTAAGGAGGAAAAAAGGCCTGATTTAGTCTCTTTGCTCTTTGTTGCCACCATACCAAGTTTCTCAAGAAAGTCATACTTCTATTCTTTTCTAATCCTTATATCCAAATTCTTGAAAGTAAGCCCATCAGAATCCATTGTTTTGTGCTCTTAGTTTCTCTTCTCTATACTATACATCCCTACACCCCTACATGATGTAATTTAGGCTAAAGACTGGTCTCCTGCCCCTGACTTCTTATCCACAGTGTCCTGAAAACCACAGGACTTGGTGCTGGAATGAAAAATTCCTTTTAGGTTGGATTAATTTCTGAAATTGACAACAGATGCGAATATTTTTGCTTTGACAGTAATTGCATACTATAGTACATGAAAAGCCTTTACCAGCAGTCCTGGTAGGCATCACTAGTCTCAGGCCAGAAGGAAGGACCCCAGCAGATGCACCAATTACTTTACATACTGTTTACCCGCTTTGGTGACATTGAGGCTAACCTTGGAGTCACCTCCCCCGCTGCCACATTCTCCTTTGTCGTACCACCATTTGTTTTTCAATTTGTCCAAGAGGCCTTGTTCATTCAGTTTTAAAACTGCGAGGTTAACAGCATTTCTTGAAACGATAAAACATATTTTGTAAGAAACTGCACAGCTGTTAAGATGTTAGAAGGAATGAGGATTTAAGCTCTTTTATAAGCTTCTCCCACACGGTAAATAAACCTCTCATTACCATATTACAACCCCCTCCACTGCAATCCAAATCAGAAGTCTGGATTATTTTGCTTATTTTCAAGTGTGATAAATATGCTTATGGTATTTGGTAGCTCTCCTTTTATAGCTCTTCCATAAGACAAATAGTTTGTGCTGATGACCAATTAGATAGAAGCTTTGGCAAAATGCTGATAAACTGGGATTTAAGGGATTATGTCTTGGATCCTTGCAGAAGGTCAGCATTTAAAGGTAGGTAAATATTGTTCCAGGTTGCATTTTATTCCTTGAAGGAGAATGCTAGCAAATCTTTAAGTACTGATTTCTTGTCTATCTTCCATACCACACAGTTAAATTGAGCATAGAGGTTCTGCTTTTTTTTTTTTTTGTAAGATTTGTGGCCCCATGCTCTGGTTTAGCTTTGTAGGTATTGATGGTTCTAGACAGGAAGTCAGACCTTAGGAAATAGGTTTCAATTCTATTTTGATTGTTAAAGCCATTGCCTCTTATTTAGAAAAGAGGATCAGGTATACATTTTGGTTGTTTTGACTAAGTAATTAAGCCTCAGGATGTCATGCCTTCATTTTAATCTATCCCTTGCATAGAGCACATTCCCCAAGTAGGTTTTCTCTAGATTTGCCTCTATAAGAGAACAGTTACGATGGATAGAGATAATATGTCTTAAATTTTCTCTAGAAGATCAATTACTATATCTAAAAAAAACACTAAGTAGGTGAGTGAAAATATTTTTAATTCTTCTGTTATACTGTTATGCACTTTAAATATATAATATTATAAAATGTTTAGTGGGTCTTATTTTTCTAAGTTGTCCTGGTTTTAAAATAGATACTTGAGAAAGAAGTACTTTAGGCTCATTTAGTGAAATTTCATTTAAAACCAGAGAGTAGTTTCAACCTTGGAAATATTTGGCTCTACTGATTTTTGGTTAGATCTCTGATTTCACTGGTGTAGAAAACTCCCCTTGGAAAAACTTTCTTCACCAATGCAGATCTGCAACTCATCTGTAACTTAGTCTTGGCGAATTTTTCTAGGACACTGAGAGTTTAAATGACTGTTCATAATCACACAGTATGTGTTAGAGGCAGGACTTGAACCCTGGCCTTTTTGACTCCAATTCCTCTGTTCATGAACTCCACACTGCCTGTCTTGGTTTCATGGTAATTCAATAAATATTGAGTGCTGACAAGTTCCATGGAAATTGAAAAGGTTATACAAACTAAGTATGGTTATAATTGGTGTTTAAACAATAGATTTGGAAATATAATTAATTTGATAAATAATTTGTGTATTTTATTAAATAGATTATTTAATATTTTTCCAAAAAAATCTGTTTTTAATATTTTAAAAAGTTACATATTTGTAGTTGTTACATTGACTGGATGCATTTGATTAGCAAATATCTTTCCAGGTTAAAATGATCACTTTCAGAGGCACTCATTTAGCTCCTATGGGACCATTTACACAGCACAAATTAGAATATTAGTTTACCTAAATTAGTTTAGAAAATTAGTTTACCTAAATCTGTGTTATATGAGAGCCCTTAAGGAGTTAAGTGGGCTTCTCTAAAGTGAACAATACTAGGGTATCATTGTGATCACTAGAAAACAGAGCCTTAATTAGAAATAGTTGTGCCTAGAACAACTACCAAAAAAATCACAGGCAGGGGAACCATTATGAAGACCTTTGGCTGAGTGTGAGGTTACTGATGGGATAGAGTGGGACAGTGGAGAGCTTGTGTCAGTCCACCAACTATTAACCAATTATTCTTGCTAACTAGGTTTTAAGTTGTATTGTTGTTTTGCCAAAGAAGTACTTTTAATGTCCTCTAAATCCATACCCCTAGAGCAAAGCACCAATGGTCCTTTTCTAAATATATCTTTGCAAGAAGAATCAGATTGAGATGTAGGAATAGCTAATAATCCAGGGGAAACTGTACTAGCTGTTTAAAAAACAGAACAAATTCTTTCTTGGGGAGAGAATGGGGTTATTTTAATTTATAATTATGTGTAAATATTAGGCAAAATTTGCTTTTAGATAACCTGAAAGTTATGTCTTTGTGAAATTTGATCCTTAGAAAGAAAAGTAACTTTTAAAGTAGTACATTTTGTTTTAAGATTAGACATAGTATGTTAAATAATTTTAATAGTGGATGGGCTTGTAATTATTTTATATATTCTTTAGGAGAAAGCCTTTTATGAAATTAAAGTCATCCTATGAGAGGGTTATTTAACAGGGTTATTAGCCATATCCATAGACAATTTCACAGCAAAATAAAAGAAAATGAAAAAATAAAGGAATGGATAAGGAAAAGATGCTTTCAATCAAGGTAATTGTTTGAAAATTAAGCTCTCAAACATTGTCTTTCTTACGACATCTATTAGGCCATGTAAAAATGGTTTAGTTTCACACTGCTATTTCTGTTTCTTGGTTCATGTTGTATAAGTTAACATTGGAAAATAAATCATTATCCAGTTCACCATTAACCACTATGATGTGCTTATCTTAGAAAGGCTACAAGCTTATCCTTATACCAACTGGTAGCAACCACTGTACTTACTTGATGGTGTTTAGTGCAACCCATCTCATCATTGATACCTTTCAGTTTTGTCGAATTTCGAAAGCTTGCTTGACTTCAAACCAAACCAAACCAAAACAAAAAGACCACCACACTGAGTACTTTGTTTCACTATCAAGGTGAAGTGATTCAGTCAGAGGAAATACTGATGACAAAAAGATGGGTCTCTTTTTTGTATGCTTAATATTTAGGTTTGGGTTGCTTTTATGGACTGTGATATAAAGTATTTGGACCATGACAATCTTTCTGTTTCTATAGAACATACACTTGTATGTCATAGCAAGAATGATCAAAAAGAATTTAAAGGCTATACAAAGTTATTTCACTCAATAGGCTGTGTTGGGTTAAAAGTACTGGCCAGTAGAAAATGAGGTAGGAGCAACAATGCAAGCTATAAATAAAATCCACTTAAATAGGGATACAGGGGGAGGACCATTTCTGTCACTGAAAAGTTACCCTAGGTACTCAACCAGCATTTCTTCCTATCTTCTGAAAGCTTAAGACAATATAGCTACAGTTTTACACAACATTAGAAAGGCCATTACGAACCTCCAACTGGAATTGTGTCTATGCAGAAGGTGCCACTGAGTCGTGGAATTATGGTTTGATGTTACTTTATCATTTGGGTATTTTTAAAGTCTAATTGCTACAAAGAATACAAATAAGAGCAATATAAATGTAAGTGATTATTATTGTTACATATTCATAAGACAGGATACAATTGTACTTTCTTCCACGATTTTTTCCTGTATGGATCAAGTGTTACTTATTTCTCTGAACCAAAGTATTTACAATTTTATCGGTGCCTGGTAGATAGTAGGTGATTAACAAGTATTTGCTGACTGTTTATCCTCACAATCATGAGGTAGGGTGTGTGTGTGTGTGTGTGTGTGTGTGTGTGTGTGTGTGTGTATTCCTGAGAGAGAGACACAGAGACACAGAGAGACAGAGACAGAGACATACAGAGAGACAGAGGGAAAAAGACAGAGACAGAGAGAGAAAGTTACATTTTATTCTTATAGGAGAGGTTGAGAAAGTGAAGGATAAAAGGGTCTAATGGCTTGCTGAAGATAATGCAGCATATTGTGCATATATAAAGTTTCTTTATTTTTAATGTAGTGCTCTATTCATCAGACAACCTACAAAATATAATCATTAACTACTAAAATGTTTAAGATGTATGCCCAAATAGTGCTAGAGATTCTTCTGTGCTAGATAAAATATATATCTCTCTTGTTTTCCTTACAAGAAGGAAGTAAACTTAATATTTGGTAGTATCAAAGAATGTCATGCAAACTAGAATTCATCTTCCCTACCTCATAACAGTGTTACTATGGCCACATTTTTTGGCTGTGTGTATGACTCATAGGCACAGGGCACTAAGCTTGGCATTGTGGTTTGTCATCCCACTTTTGCAGAGTAGAGGGTGCTTGAGATACGAAGTTTTTAAAAAAGATCTTATTTATTGAAAGGGGAATAATTTGGTCCAACAGAATGATGAAAAGTTGAGCAATTATTTGGTCTAGGACACAGGCCTATTCAAGAATTTAGACCAAATTATGGGTCTTTTCATAAAGAATTAAAAGATCTGCTTCAAGAAATTGGTATACCTTTCAAAAGCACAGTTCTGTTTCACATATCATGTGTTTCTCTTAACTTTGGCTGCATCTGCTTCAACATGGCTTAAAATCAGTCTGTCTTCTACTTAATAGGCTACATTTTAATGTCTGAGTATATATTCATATATGCATAATAAGACAACGCCTTTGGTCTCCCAAATTAGAGAAATAGAGAATTACATGAGTCCTTAATCTAAGAGGGCCTAGGAAATTCTCAGGAGCTTTTTCTTTTTAGATTTATTTAGGAATTTTAAAAATGCCATCAGGTCTTTCTTACATTATTCTAGCAAGAACCTATTTCCCATAGCTTTCTGACAGCTAACTAAAATTTCAAGGCTTTAGTTAGATACTAGGGAATACTAGTTTCAGTGGGCTGGAATCACTGAGAAACAAACATAAGTATTACCTGGAAAAATGTACTCAGTAAAAGCATGCTATCTATTTAGCTAGTGCTGACCTTGAGAACCTATACTATTCTCAATTTAAAGCTACTTAAATGGTTTGTACTACTGGTATTGATAGAAATATTTCAAAAAAACTCATTTTTGTTTCACTTGAGGTGTTGCTTATTTCAGAAAAGTCAGATTAATCAGGATGGAGGAGCAGATATATCATATTTTCTTTTAGCTATTTAATTGTTTTTTAGTTTTGTTTTACTCTAAACCTGTGATCAAAGCAGTGTGGAAAATT